AACAGTTTGTCTCCAGGTGGAAAAGTTTGGATAGACCTGTAATAATTTACTTCTCATCGATATCCAAGTTGACTTGATAGCAGCCTTTCAGTGTATAAAGAGGAGCTACAGGAAAGAAGGGAACGGATTCTTTAGCAGGATCTGTGGTGATAGGACAAGAGGAAATGTTTTCAGACTTAAAGAGGGTCATGTATATTTAGGTTGAATATAAGGAAAAAGTCTTTTAGAGTGAGAGTGGTGAGGCACTGGGAGAGGTTGCCCAGTGATGTGTTGCAAATTCCTGGAGACTTTCAAGGCCAGCCTGTGGATGTCCCTGTTCATTGCAGTGAAGTTGGTCTAGATGACTTCCAAAGATCCCTTCCAGCTTTTAAAGATTCCAGAATTCTACTTAGACAACAAAATTCACTCTGAAAGAACACTGAATCACTGAATTCCTCCATGTAGAGGAATTTAGCCCTGCAGAGAAGGATGCAGGAGTCCTGGTGGAGTCCTGAACATGAGCCAGCAGTGTGCTCTTGCAGCTCAGAAGGCCAATGGTATCCTGGGCTCTGACAGAAGAGGGGTGGCAAGCAGGGGCATGGAGGTGATTGTTCCTCTATCTGCCCTCAAGAGGTTTCCTCTGTAGTACTACATCCAGACCAGCGGCTCCCAGTACAGGAAAGATTTGGAGCTGATTGAGTGCCGTGAAAAGGGCTGGGACACCTCCCCTATGAAGACAGGCTGAGGGAGCTGGGCTTGTTCAGCCTGGTGAAGAGAAGGCTGTGACAAGACCTCATTTCAGTCTTCCAGTATCTAAGAGGGGATTATAAAAAGGAGGGGAATCAACTTTTTACAAGGGTACACAGTGATAGGATGAGGAAGAATGGTTTTGAGGTCAAGGAGAGAAGGTTTAGATTAGATGTCGGGGGAAATTAATCACAGGGAGAGAGCTAAGGTGTTGGAACAGGCTGCCCAGAGAGACTGTGGATATCCCATTTCTGCAGGCATTCAAGGCCAGGTTGGATGGAGCCCTGGGTAGTACAAGATCTGGAGGTTGGTGGCCCTGTTTGTGGCCGGAGGATTGGAACATGATGATCCTTAAGGTCCCTTCCAACCCAAGCCATTCTGTGATTCTGTAATTCTATGTGGAAAAAATGGCACCCATTAACATTCACTGATGTTTGTTGAATGCCCCTGGAGACCAACACTGAATATGAGAACACTGAGGTGGTCGATGGTGCATTTCAGCAGTGTGACAGTGACAGTGGGTCACCTCCATTGGAGAACATTTTTATGAGTGCAGCATTTTGGCTTTTCTTCAGCTCTGGTGAAAATGCACAACTAACGGTGGTGACTACGTTATAGAATAGTGTTTTGTAGCTGCAAATTTGCTTTAAACAATAGTGTTATTATGCTCTTTGTATTAATTGGAGTTTCCAGGGAAATAAATAGTAAATAACCTACGTACATGTACAGTTCTTAACAAGCACTTGATACATACTTGTTCTCTTGCTAACATAAAGTCAGTGATGTGAAAAAATCATAATCTTAAAGAGCAATTCTTAAATTCATTTTAAAGGCAAGGTTGCTGAATCTATGGTAATAATTTCATACAGTGAATTTTCAAAAGAATTTTAGAATTTCAAGTAGAAAAAAAAAAAAAAAGAAGTAGAAGACTTCAAAAAAATAAATAACTCTCAATTTTTCCATGGGGAATATTTTGAAGTGAGAGGGTGAACCACATAGACCAG